AATAAATAAAATCTTTAAAAAAAAAAAAAGATTTTTAAGAATATATTATAGGGGGCACCTGGGTAGATCAGTAAGTTAAGCGACTGACTCTTGGTTTCAGCTCAGGTCATGATCTCAGTGTCCTGGGATCGAGCCTGACTTCTGGCTCCACGCTTATTGCCGAGTCCCCTTGGGACTCTCTCTCCCTCTGCCCCTCCCCCCGTGCTTTCTCTCAAATCAATAAATCTTTTATAAAAAATATATATACATATATATATAAATGAAAACTGAGTGACTATATGCTAAGTTCAGCTGTCCTTGTTTTTTGGTTTTTTGTTTTGTTTTGTTTCCATTACCAGTGGCAAAAAGGCAAAGGTGGGCCTCAGTCTGAATATAGGTGAAGATAACCCTTATCTGGGTTACTACCCAGCCTTGCAGCCTGGTAGGCTGCATTATGTATTGCTACGTGAGCTCATCAGTGGACCAAGTACATTTGTTAAATTCTTTTCAAGTCAATAAAATGTCTCACACCAGTGAATATACTTGTTACAATCACAGATAACCATAATGAGCTAAATATTGATCAGTAGCACTGAAAATATCTATCAATCTTTCTCCATTTCTGATGGTTCAGGGCAGTAGGATAATATGAAGTTTATATGCTCTGCTACCATGACCCCGAGGAGTCCTCTCAGAATTGACCTCTATCAGATGTATGTGCCCGTGGGCTTTCGCTCTTGATTCTCCTTGGAAAGAGTGAATCTGGGATTAATCCCCTATTAGAATCTGAGCCCAGTGCCAAAAAATCCTTCTAATACTTCCCACCTTTTCTACTTTTGATGCCTCATGGAGTCTATCTCCCCTGCAAAAGAAAATAGGAACTATGCATCAAGATTTGTTTTAGCAGTACTTAGCTGATTCTTAACATCAACACACACACAGACACATTTTCTCCCTTTTCCTTTGCTTTTGAATATCAGCAGTCTTGACAAGAATGGTGTATTGGGACCAAGGGAATGGGGATGGGAGCTGACTTAACTTCTGAGTTTTAGATGATTATCTCTTCTTAAATGCTTGTTACACTTAAGAAGTGTCCAAGGTTAAAAGTTCTGTGATTTTCAACTAGGGCTGTACCACCAGCCATGGGGCATTTGGAAATGTGAATGTGTTGCTGTATTTTAGAATCCCTCAATGATTTGGAAATACTACTGACATATAGGGACCAGGGACATTAAACAGATACAAGGCATGGGATTGACCCATACAATAAATAGTTGTTCTATCCAAACTGCCCAAAGTGACCCCACTGAGGAACCCTGGGCGTCTTACCTAGGAAAATGTGTTAAATCCACTTCTATGGGTGCTGCCTTCCAGTGTTTGAAGGAGAGATTTCTCAATTCTGAAGGGAAGAAAGGAGATGATGGTTTCCTGAAGGTGGGGGAGAGATTGTATATGAGTTAAAAAGGTATATATCCAACAAATAGCAGAACACCGACGATGGCCACTGTTCCAGGCAGTGAGGATAGAATGTTTTCCTGAAGCTGGCTGTCCAATCAATGAGGGAGAAACAGAAGTGACCAACGTGAATAACTTGGAAGGAACATTAGTCTTATGAAAGCCAAGCGTGGTGAGAAAAGAAAGGATGTAGATGATACCCTAGGTTGTTGGGACACAATGGGGTCTTTGGGGCGTTGATGCTTTATCCCAGGCTTGGGGGTCGGTAAGAGAAGGTCCAGTTAAGCAAGAAGGAAAAGAAGCTCTCCCAGGGTTAAGAGAATGTCACCATGGGGGAGCCTGGATGGCTCAGTGGGATAAGTGTCTGACTCTTGATTTCAGCTTGGGTCATGATCTCATAGGTTGTGAGGTCAAGCCCTGCATAGGGCTCTGCACTGGGCATGGAGCCTGATTAAGATTCTCTCTCTCTCTCATCCTCTCCTTCTGCCCTCCCCTCTTAAAAAAAAAAGAGAGATTGTTACCATGGCATCACCAAAGCCCTAAAGCGAGAAGCAACTTAGCCAGTTTCAGAAACTAAAAAAATAGGAGGACTTATTATTCCAGGATTGAAGAAGTATAGGTAATTAGAAAGAAAGCTGCCGGGGCGCCCGGGTGGCCCAGATGGTTAAGCGTCCAACTCTTGGTTTGGGCTCTGGCCCTGATCTCATGGTTGTGGGATCAAGCCCCATGTGGGGCTCCATGCTCAACGTACAGCAAGCTTGTCCCTCTCCCTCTGCCCCTCCCCCCACTCAAATAAATAAATAAGTAAAATCTTTAAAAAAGAAAGAAAGGTGCCATTTTTGAGTTCTCACTATAGTCCCAACAATGGGCTAAGTGCTATCATTTGATTTAATCCTTCCTACAACTGTGTGACAAGGATGGTCTTAGCCTGGAAAAGGATATGAAGAGAGAGGCTCAGAAAGATTACCATGGCCTCAGTTACCAGACCACAGAGTAAGTTGTAAAGCTAAAAATTCAAACCATCTTTGTCTGACCAAACCTCATGCTCTTTATTAACCATGACATTATAGAAAAGCAGTTGCTCACCAAGTACTTCTGTTAAATGGAAGCCAAAGAAAATGACAAGAGAAAGGAAGGAGCAAACAAAAGAGCTGTCCTGGGTCAATGGGAGGGTTGGAAATCTGATCAGCAAGGTGAAAATAGGGGAAAAGACTGTTCAGGGCGGTTGGCAGTGCATGGGTTTTCAAGATAGGCACGTCAGACAGTTCTGATCGGGGTGTGGCTTGAAGATGTTCCTAATGAAGGGCCAACTGGGGGAGAATTATCTTTGCAAAAAGGGTGGAGGAAAAGAGCAAAGGCATGTGGGGAATATACTTGAAATGTTGGTCAGTGGGTTGTGAATAGTGAATTAAATTAGCATTGCAGCCTCCCACCCCTGCTCCCATGCAAAACAAACACTTAACATTCCCTGGAAAACCATTCTTCATGTTGTCCTCTCCTCAGTTTCAAAAGAAATTGGCTCCATAAGGAGATAAAAGATTGGGAAGCCAGAGTGAGAAAGATCTCATCAGGGAAACCGGCAACCCACGACTGGGAAGGACACTCTCCTCAGCCCTTCAATTACCAGAATATAGTGGGTGTCTGGGTAGACATCACCATCTTTATAAAGCAGTGGTTAAGCGTGTGGGCTTTGAAGTCAGGCAGACCTGGAGACGGGTTACCCGGCTTAAAATCAATGCTAGCCCCACCACTTGCTGAGCCCTATGAACTAGGGTAAGTTTTCTAACTTCCCTGGGCCTCAGTTTCCCCACTAGTACCCATCACACAAGGGTATTTGTGGGCTGCACAAGATAATGCATGTAAGAGTGAGGCACAACATCTTGTCTCTAGCAGGTGCTTCGTGAGATAAATTATTTCCTGGAAAAAAAGAAAAGATGGGAAATGATGGTTGAATATTAAAAGAGATCTAGAAAGTTGAGGTTCTGAGGATTGGCACCGCCTGAAATGACACCACTCTTGAAATTACTCATCACTATCAAGAGCTGATTGCATTTCAGGCACTGTCATGGGCATAGCACCGTACTGGAATATTTTTTTCTTTTTTAATCCTTACATCAAATTGGCAATTATTAATCCCCAACAAAAGCTCGGGGAGGTTAAATGCTTTGCCCAAGTTACATATCTAGAAGGCACCCAGGCCTGGATTGCACCTCACAAATGCATAAAACAGAACCTTTGTAAAGTAGGACTTTGTGCCACCCTGGAGTCTGCCATGGATGGAAGACACGCCAAGGTTTAACCCACGAAGTCAAGCCGATTAAGGTGTTTTCCAGACTTTTCAACCAGAGATCTCATGCAAGGCCCGGCCCAGGGCGATGTGCACTTGCAAGAGCCTGGGAGTTTACCTGCTTAAACTATGTGCCCAGCTGCCTGACTTGCTTCACCCCGGGCTTAG